CGGGCCGCGCCTGCCACCTGGTGGCACTGCCCGGGACACGAGCAGCGACCTGTCACCTCTCCCGTCCCCCAGCACCGGTCACACAAGCCGCAGCGCCCGAGGCAGCCGTGGAAGGTCACCCAGCCCCAGCTCACCCCGCGCCAGACACCCCTCGAAGACTAGGCAGTGCCCGGCCCGTGCCACACGGCCCTGGAGTAGACATGGCAACCAGCAGAACACGGTTCACTGTGCCCTGGAAGGCAGCTGCAAGAAGCCAGCCTCAACCTTGCACAAGACATGGTGGTGGAGCAGCTCTTGCTGTGTCCTAAACCAGTTTGTGCCCACCTGGATAGTGTTGCCTGGCTGCACCTGGCACAGGGAAAGCTGAGCAAGTCCCACACCCAAAAAAGGTGTCAGTACAGGCAGAGGCCAGGGCTGAGCCCTTCCCTGCTCACCTTGGCTCTTGGATGACACCTGAGACACCAGCACAGGCAGAGGAGAAACCCAAAGACAGCAACTGAAGGAAACTGATGGGATATGTGGTTCGCACACACTCCCTATGCCCAGCTCAGACACCCCACCCTCTCCTCCCCACCAAGTGCCACAGAGGCTGCCCCCTCCCTGCAGCCCACTACCCACCAGAGGACTGGCTGGAACACCCATGGCCTCCTGAGCAGGACCTGCAACTTGCAGAAGACATTTCTGCTTGTCGTCTCAGAATCCCCTAGCTGTGGCAGGAATGGCTATAAAATTTGGTTCTCCAGCACCCAGTGTCCGTGTTGGAACTATGAGAAAGACACTCTGAAGAAGGCATGGCACACTCAGGGATGAAAGATGAGGAGAGCACTAGATGAAGGAGAAAGACTCAGGAATGAAGCCTCATCAAGGAAGAAGCAGAACCACAGAAAGGACAAGTAGCACTGGCAACTTAATTCTTCATTCACAGAAAAACAGAAATAGGATAATTTTTGGATGTATTTCTTTTGGAAATGAGCCAAACTGGCAACTAGAATCAAAGTCTTCAAAAAGTCTATACAAAGATGTATCATACAAAATGTACAGCAAAGTTCTCAAAAAAAAAACCAAAAACCAAACCAAACCCAACAAAAAAAACCAAAAAAACCAAAAAACAAAAAACCAACCCAGACAGACAATACAACAAAAGGAGAGCAGACGGTGTGAAACCACAGCGAACAGATCCTGCCCCTGCTCTGGGGGCAGAGCAGCATTTGGACAACGCGCTCCAACACACGATACATTACATTATGTACAGCACCGTACAAAGACCGGCATCCCCTATGGTCTAACCAGGAGCTCTCCAGCATGAAGTCAGGGCAGTGCAAACAGTCTGCTCATGGAAGTAATACATGCTGAGAGGGGGAGAAAACGTCCAAGGGAATGAAATGGTCAACTAAACCATAACCAGAATACAGCCAGGCCACCAAGGCTACAGAGTTTAACAGTCAGTTCTGGCTAACAAGTGCGTGCTTTGCAGGCCACAGCATGTTACTCCATCTCCGTGAAGCGAGCAAACATGGCCTTCCGCACTGCATCTTTGTAGGAATCTGCTGTGGAGACACCGTAGGAGCTGCCCTTAGCTCCCAAACCAGCTCCTCTCATTCGTACTTGGGCCTGCAATGGAAAAGACACATGCTTCAGCTCTACAGGAGGCCACAATGCCACACAGGACTCCACAGAATACATCAGACCAGTCAGTTTCTGGTGCTCTGCAGAGATCCCTAACAGATACCAGAAGGTATGACTGCACACACCCCCTCCCACACCACCCCAGAACAACTAGAATGAAGCTGCACAGAAAAAGCTGAAGCCTGAGCACAGACAAAGCCCAGGAAGGCCACTGGCTCAAAGGAGGGGAGCCCACCCCAAGCATCACTAGAGCACACAGCTCGGGTGCCACCCTGCTGCCACAGCACCTCAGGGTAGACTTTTGATGGAAGGAAGCAGAGCCCTGCCTGTGGATGGCAGTTTCTTCCACGAGAGAGCTTCAGCAGCAAGTGCTTCTAGATATAAAAGGCACCAACCCTCATAGGAAAGCACCCATCTCTACTTACCTCAATGGGTGCTGTGATGCCCTGACATTTTCTTCCCAAGCCTGAGCCTTCCCTCCAGCCCATGGCCTGCAGCATCTTGTTGCCTATATTACTGTTGTCAAGGCCATCTTTGGTGGGCTGCTCGTAATTACTGCAGGAAGAAGAGATGAGTTAACCAAATGGTTCATGGTGTATTGAAGCAATGACCGAGGAGCTGTCGGCTACATACACTGTGCCGGCGTCATAGACCTTCTTGCGCTTTGGCTCAGGTGGCTCTGGGATGCCATACTTCTCCCGCCTCTCAGCTGCTCTGTCTCTGTATTTCATCTGCGTAAGGTAACCAGATTTAGTACTGATTTAAAGACACTTTTGTTCATCTTTTGAGCTATGAAAATAGGCCAAGTGCCTGCTATTATAGAAAGCTGCCCACCACAGCCTGTTAAAACACAGCTTGACTACCACCACAGAAAGGAGAACCTCAAACTCAAGACCCTGGAGCACATGGAGCTTGCACTGGGTAGGAAGAGCCCATCCCAACTGTGCACTGCCACACGAAGGTGTCTTGTCCCAGCAGGGCTGCCCTGAGCTGGAGGTGGAAGGACCCTTCCCTGCTAAGCAGTACCTGTGGGATATGGGGCACTTCTTTCCAGGACAGCTCTGAACCTTGACCCAAGAAGGGGTTGCCTTACAAGGATTATCTCGAATTACATGTGTCAGGATAATGAGAGCTAAATGTATCATCTGCGCAGGTTTTCCATTAGCTACTCAATCTGCTCATCTCACCACTGACCTCTCTCTCACGCAGCTCCAAGGCTTCAAGCTCCTGCTCTGAAAGCTTTGATCTCCTGTAGATATCCATGTTTTGCTGCAACAAGAGACTTGCATTAACATGAAATGCATGACAGCTATTTTTACGTAAGCAGCTGACTTCTGGGAGAGAACAATCCCCCTGCAACTATTTTTGCTTTAAGAGGAACCATTTTCCAAACCGCAATGTGCATCATGGCTTTGGTTTACATACCAAGTTATGGCAACCAAGTACCTCCCAGACAGCACAGATCAACTACCTTGTGCAAGTCAGACAACTGCTGGTGCCGAATGAGAGCATCTTTGTTTGGGAACTGCCTTCTACACAGCAGACAGGCCATCTTCTTCCAGTCAGTTAGCTTCTCTTCTTCATTCTCCATTCTTTCCAGCAAGTCCTCATCATTATCACTGTCACCACTGTAGGCAGCCACAAGGCCACGCTGTAAAGGAAAGGGTAATGTTGAGTGCAAGTGTCCCACAGTTTGGAGAGCCCAGAAAGGGAACACAAGAGGCTGTAGATACATGTTGCACAGGATGGGGCAGCACTCTCTCATTACTAAGGATGAAATGCAACTCAGAAGAACCACATACCACCGTGGTGCAAGAGTTAGCTCCCACCAGCCAAACAATAATTTAAGCACAGTGTTTCTAGAAGCCTCAAAACCTCAACTGAGCTCTTGAGGCTAGAAGAAATTGCAGCTTTTTTATCAGCGCATCTCTGTCACCCTATGTCACCAACATACTGCACTTGCACTGGACCACTGTAACCTTCACCACCATCTTCTACAGATGATGCTGTGGAAATTCAGGTTGTTAAGGCGGTATCTGCTTGACTTCCTGTAAAGTGCTTTACCAATAACCTTCGGGAATACCTCTGCCAGGTATCTCACACTCACCTTCAGCGGATTTTCATCATCTCCATTTTTCAACACCTCTGGCAAGATCTGCTGCCTCTCAGACAGAGCTCCCTGGAGGAGACAAGAATGCCATGAACGCTGAGCACTCTGCCACCCCACACCCCCTGCACACCTCTGCCAGCACCTTCACCTTTTTCTCAAAGAGGGCAAAGCCTGCATCTGCAGCTGCTGACTCCTTCCTCTCCTCCTCCCTGGTGCTCAGTGGCTGGAAGCTGTTCTTGAAGTTTTCTTTCTGCTTGTTCAAACTCTTTGCCCAGCGCTCCATGTCTTTAGCAATCTGAAATGCAGAGTGGTTTGCTCAGACAGCTCCTCTCACAGCTATCAATCTCTTATGACAGAGATTCAATCTTGCATACAGATTCCAGAACAAGTCAACCCACTACCTTTTATTTTTAAATCACAGGACACTGCATGCAGTGCAGCTGCTTTCCCTGTATACAGCATTCAAAGATAACGCAGCTTGCTTGGTTTACTGCAGGAACCCTTCTTATCAATCTAATCCTCTAAGTGACGGCTCAGTTATACTCCCACTGCTCCTGGCATGATTTCATATGCATTCCTCCTATGCAGAGCTTATTTCTGCACTGAAGCCTTGCTGACTCCTCCTCTCCTCAGCCCTCTGCAATGCCTGCAAATTGCAGGCACGTACCCCACCAAATAACCTAGCATTTCCTTTGTCATGGAAAAGGAGAACTATTATCCCACAGAAAACTTTAGCCCAGTTACAATCCCATCTTGTCTTTTACCTGTTGTGCTGTTTTACTTTTAGGCTTCTCTTTCTTTTCCTTCACTTCTTTGGTAGTGGTTGTGGTAGCTGTTTGTTGGTATGTGATACCTTCTGCAGCAGGCATATAGGTCTCCTTTTCGCCATCCCAGTAAAGGTACTGCTGAGTTAAGGCATTGTAGTAATACTGCCAGAGGAAGAGACAGTTACACAGTTAAACACCTCATCCAAGCATCCAAGGGAGAACACAAGCAAGCTAATTCACACTACCACATCAAATGGGAAGGTGTTCTGGAGTCCAAATGAATTTCGCAAACTCCATAACAGAGACAACAGGCATGAAGTGGCTGAGGCCTCTGTCCCCTAACATATGCATTCTGCCCAACAGCACTATGGAGAAGTTTTTGGCCCTCCCAAGAGACAACCCACCAGAGCCCAGAGCTGGATGCACTCTGCAATGGAAGAGCTCAATTGCAGTGTCTGTGATAACAGCTGATCCTGTATGAGCTAAACTGGGAAGAAAGTTAAGGAGAAAAATTGAAGACTGCACTAGAAGGAATTCAAGTCCCAGCTCCATGCACACTGGTGAGTTATCTGCTACATATAGATTTTGTGCACCTCAAAAGTGAATTTCACTTGTATGCTGAGAGACAGGAAACTAATGGACCTTAACAGTTAAGACAAATGGGAAGAAACTGTGTTTACCTGGGAATTAGGATCATAGTAGAGCCCTGTTACAGGATCATAATAATATCCTGAAGATTCATCATACTGGTAGGTGGAAGTATCAGGGACAGCTGTAAAAAAAATAAAGTGTGGGACATGGTTGTTCCAGTCAAAATCAGACAGTATTTTTCCACATTTCAGGTACAATTCTGAGACTATGACAGCAGCCATGTCCGTAAAAGGCTCTTCATCACCCATGCAGAACGCACTCTCCAGGGACAGCTCCACCATTGGAGCACCCAGCCAAAGCCAGGTCTCTCTCTCACTACACAGTGACAGATACCTGTACCCTTCTCCCAGGAGTAACTGCTGCTTACCATACTTGGTTCCAGGGACTACTCCAGTCGGGGGAGCTGTTTGTGCCTGAGTGCTAGTGGTGGGTGGTGCTGATTGTGTCTGGAAAAAACAAAACCAGGAAATCTCAACTAGAAAAATCTACCACAGAGGCACGAGAAAACAAGGACAGTGAGCCAAGCCCAAGCCCACACCACGCATACAACAGCTCTTGCCTCTTCACCAGCACTCACCTTTAACAAAGAACAAAACCATCACAGAAACAAAACGACAAGTGACTTAAGACCACAAGCACTGTGACTAACCCATGAAGCTTTGCTGTACAACCCACTTGAAAGAGCAAAGGCCACAGCTAAGCCAGATATCCCACATAACCCTGGCATGGAAAGCAAGGAGTAAACAGCACTGTAATTACCGGAGAGTCAGGTGAGTTTGCCTGTTGATTGTACAACTGAGGACTCTGGGACACAACTGCAGCTGTGGTGGTAGTGATCGGAGCTCCTGCCAACAGAGAGCAACAGTGGGTAAGACAACTAATTTGTAAAACATTGCACTTCATCCTAGAGCTAGAATTCTTTTGTTTACAGTTTCAGCTCCTAATTCCAGCTCCAGCAGCCAAACAAGGCAATAAACATTCAAAAGGAGACAGATATACAGTGGGTATTTTCTACCCAGACAAAGGTTTCATTTTCAGGAGGAAATATGCTGCTTCCAAAGTCAGTGATTCCTGGCCTCTGACAGCTACCAGAACTGAAGACTTGTCTAGAGCTGCTTACACAGTTCTCATGAGTTCAAGGTTTTTGTCACTAGTCTGAAACAGATCTGTAACAGTTCTCTAGTAACATGTGCTCATTCAGACATCCTGAGAGCAAAACAAGCCAAGTCTCCCTTTACACAGTAAAGTTATAGAAAGGCTAAGGTAAAATACCACTATTGCAAAATTATCCTTACAAACAGTATCTCCCACACGCTGGAAGTACTACCTGATATGGTAGCTGTGTCTGAGTCCAACACTCCTCCTTGATTTTGGTAATACTGCTGATAATCTTGGGAGTACTGCAGTGGGAAATGAGTGACAATGCAAGATGAGCAGATAGCCGAATTACAACAACCTATGGGTTGGTTAAAGAACAACTGCCACTACTAACCTGAGCGTACTGTGTGTAGCCCTCCTGTCCTGACTGGAGGTAGCTGTAGTCAAGGGTGTTGCCTTCTCCAGTCTGTGGCTGAAATTCAAGCAGGTAGTTTTTGTCAGAGACAGGAAAGTTACTGCATTTAAGTATTTTAACACTCCTTAGAATCCAGCCTAACTATCAGAAGCAGATGTGTCAAAGCAGCTTTGGTCAGTTCAACCAAGCAAGTGGCCAGCAGTGAAATGATAAGCTCTATGTTTTCATTTTCAGGAAAGCAAGACTGTAAGGAACAGCCTCCAAGTCCTACCTGTGTGGAAGACCACTGAGCCGCAGCAATGGCTGTGCTTGCCACTGAGAAGGCGCTGACTCTGTTACCATCTGGGAGCAGCAGGTCTCTGTAAGCACAAAAAACCACCCATTTGAGTAAATACTGCTTTTTCCTGAAGTGTCTCCCTGTGCAAGCAAGTGCAGTCTGCCCTTACATGTTGATTTCTTGGCAGTTATAAAACATTCTGATTGTAATGACTGAGCCAAAGCATTGTCTGGCAAGTAAAGGGATTCAGGTTCATTGTTGTACAGTCAGTAACAAGTCACTGGGTCTCCAAGGAAACAAGTGTGCTGTGTACACAAGCAGTTACGATCTTATCTTCACAGAATTGGAAACAGGGGTGGTAGGAAACGCTCCTTTCTGTGTCCTCATGCGCAGTGAGAAGCAGGACACGTACAACACAAGGCACTTACGGGAAGCAAAGCTTTGGAGTGACAGTAATCTCAAGAAATGCCTGGGTGTACTCCAACATAAACAGAAGAAGGGATAAAAAAAATAATCAAATATCACAACTCACTTTCTGGCACTTTTTGCAAAATCAACACCAATCGTTTTGCCATCAATTTTTAACGGAGGCTGAAGGCTTTGTAAAATCTGCAGCAGTTGAGAAGCATCCTATAAAGAGAAATACTCATTACTATGAACAGCATGTTACTGTGGATTCACAGTTCCCAGATCTCAGCCTTTTCACACACAGCTAAAGCTGTAAGAACACCTCTATCTCCTCATACTATACATATGTAGAAAAGCTCAATGGTACTGATCACAGCCCATGTGCAAAATAGTGTGCATTTCACTGGGTTGCAGAATACTAAACATGTTCTGAAGTAAAAAGCAGATGTTTGCCCCAAATCACTCCAAAAGGGAGGCCAGCAGAGACTGAGGTCAAGCACTTGTTTTCATCCAAACTGTTCCCCTCTTCCTGGAGCAGGTCCAAACAGATCATGCAGCTGATCAAGTTTAGTATATAGCTAATGCTATATACTATATCATTTACATTGGAAAAGACCTTCGAGTCCAAGTGTAAACCTGATACTACCAAGTCCACCATTAAACCATGTCCACAGGTGCCACATCCACCCATCTTTTAAATACCTGCAGGAAAAGAGATTCTACCACCCTTCAGGGACCCCATGCCAGTACCTGACCTCCTTCAGTTATGTTTTCCTTGTACCTCACTGCAACTTCTCATGTTTTGGTTTATGGCTGTTGCCTACTGTCCAATCCCTGTGTACCCTCAAGACTAAGTCTCTGCTGTCCCTATACCCCCCCACTGCTGCAGAGCAAGAAGATCCCTCTCCTTCCCACCCCCAGGTGGAAGGGGCCCAATTCCATGCACCTTCTCCCACACCATACGCCCCAGACCTTGAAATGAAATATGATCACAGACCATTATTTTTGTGATCCAAGCATGAAGCTAGCCTTCACTCCAGAATAGCACTCTGCTACAAAAATAGCTTTCCCATGTGCTCACAACATCCTACCACTTTCTTTCCAAACTGCAGAGTTAATGATGAAAGGCTCTGACACACCCTCAGTGAACTGGGGTGGTCCTTCAGAAAGCAAAAAGGCTCTAAATGCTTCAGCTACACAAATGCCTTAACAAGCTGTTCCTCTCCAGTGCATCAGTGAAGCCCCTCACCATGGCAGAAGACAGCTGCACAAACGCAAAGCCTCTATTTTGCTGGGTCTGCTTGTCCTTGATAAGACGAATATTATTGACTGCCAGAGATGCATATGGAGACAAGGCAGTCATGATGGATTCCACTACTGTGTGAGGAGCAATGTTTCGGAGAATGATGGCTGAGGAGAAAAGAAAGTATGACATTAGCTGTGCACGTAATGACTTTCCAGAGTACCTCAGCAGGCAGTCTGAGGTACAGGAAGGATTTTAGCACCCACATTCACATTTTACATTAAATCAAAGATAACTTACTATCACAGTAATAATCCACAGACTGAACGGCTTCTGCTGCTCCAGGTGGTACCTCCTGTTCTGAATCTTCGTAAGAAGAGGAGAACATGTTAGTTACGATATGGCTAATTCACTCAAGCTCAGCATTTCACAAGCCAGCCTAGGACCTCCAGCGAACTTTGTTCTCCCTAAAAAGGACAGGAAGTTTCCCACAAAAATCAAACCCAGCCAAAGAGATCAATGTAACATACCAAATTTGTCCGCTCCACAGCGGAAGCATTTTAGCCTCCTTCTGAAGTTGTAAAGGCAGCACTATGAGAAACAAGAGGAACCCAGTAAGAACTCAGATCATTTGCAACAATGGCAGCATCTGCTGTACAGTAACAAAAACTAGACAGTCACACAAAGTAACATCACAAAGCTGAACCCACCAGAATAACAGAGAACAGCACAAGCCACCCCTGTCCATACCACAGCTGCTTTTTAAACGTCCCAGCTACCTCTTCCCTGGTCCTCCTGAATTAGTTGGGTAATTATGTGGTCTTCAATTTACAATCCCAGGCATACACAACTACTTTAAAAAGCACAGCTGGAAAACAAGTTTTCTTTATGGACAGGAAGTAAAGACTGACCGAACAGCCTGGTCTTCATCTTACTGCATCAACGCCAGTTGAGGAGGTCAAACAAGGAGTATGGAGCAGTATGTGACCATTCATCACCTAATTACTTCATGTTCTAGTGCAGCTCACTGCCCATGCCTGTCTTCTGGGGCAACACCCAACCGCTTGCCACCAGAACTACCGAATTTTTACACTCCTGTGTCTTACTATTCCTACAATGTCATCCAGACCAGCAGCACGACCGGGTTCGAATCACGATCACTTTGCTAAAGCCACTGCGCTGGTGAAGAGCACTGAAGCCAAGATAAATCGACCACTGTACCTTGTTGCAAAGCCAGTCCTCAAATTTAGGCCTAGGGTTGCTGTAGTGCATCGCAATCTGCTTCCCTTGAATCACCAGCTTTTTCTGCAAAAAAAGTGGTTTCAATTATTCCTGTCTCAAGGCATGCATGTTCATTTTCCCATGGCAGAGCACCCTTCGGAGGAATCAGTGCTTCTGAATTAAA